GTGTCTTAGTCTGGTGCTGCCATAAAAAAACTGGATAATCTATAAACAAATAAGCTGTTTATCACTGTTCTAGAACTGGGGAAGTCTAAGGTTTCTGCACACACAGTCTTAATGTCTTAAGGCGGACTGCTTCTAAGGTAGTGCACAGTTGCTGCATCTTCTGGAAGAGCATCTTCATGTGGCAGAAAGGGCAAGGAGCGGGGGTGAACTCCTCTGTGAAGCCCTTTTATAAGGACCTTATCATCCTCATCCCATCGGGGAGGCTTGGCCTCATACCTTAATCAACTCCTAATGACCCCATCTCTTAATCCTGTCACATAGGTGACTGAGGATCAGCAGATCCACTTTAAGGGACATTCAGACCATAGCCATCATGAAACAATTTCATGGCAGTGCACTCCTGTCCTCGATGGTTCGGTACTCAGTCTTGATGCATTGGCCCTCTGTCTTCTGGTCCTTGATTTTATGGCTTTGAGCAACTCAGACAATTTAGGGGGCTGTAAGGAATTAGGAAGCTCTCTTGTACACCTAGCCACCTGCAAAACTGGGTATGTCCTGATGAAATGCTGACACTGCCCAACTCCCACTGTGGCTTTGCAGGCTTGCAAGGAAGGTGGCCCCAGAGAGCCATTAAATAATTGTCTCTCAAGACCCTGGCTTGTTAGGCTTACTTTGACAGTAGCAGTCTCCTCGAAACTTCTGCCAACCACCACTGGGTTGTATCTTAATGAAAGTCTTGGTTATTCAAGAGAGAATTATATAGAAAGACATTTCTTTAATCCTTCTTCAATCCATTTGTTCTTTCATTAGCCTTTTTCTTTTTTATATTTGTGGTGTGTGTGTGTGTGTGTGTGTGTGTGTGTGTGTGTGTGTGTGTGTGCAGGTGCATCTGTGCAGGTGTTTATGCATGTGTATGTTCATATGTGTGGAAGCCAGGGGACAACTTGGGTGTCATCTTCAACAATGCCATCCATCTTCTTTGAGAAAGAGTATCTAACTGACCAGGCACTCACCAGTTAAGGTGAGACTAACGGGCCGGTGAGCTCCAGCGTCTTCCTGTCTCCTCCTCAGTGCTGGGGTTGCAAATGTGTACCACTGTGCCCAGCATTTTTTAATGTGGATTCTGTGAGCCCAGTTCAGGTCTGCTGCCTGAAAAACAAGCACATCACTGGCCTCAGCATCTCCCTCGATGCTTCATTTCCTTCTTCAGAGCTTACTAAGGGAGGGGATCTGTGATGGGTGCTGGGAAAGAAAACAGAACAGGGAAAACGTACCTGTTCTCAAGGCCCTTGAATAAGTTATCCTTTTGATTGTAAAGTTGATATAGGCCAGAGGCAACTTTCTTAAAAACATTCTGTGTAAATGAACAGCAAGTATTTCAGGTTTTGTACCGCATGGGCTCCTGTGGGAGTGACTCCACTCTGCTCTCATTCTCAGGGAGCCCCAAGGGGATGCTTGTGAAAATGGGTGTGGTTCCCCTCAGGAGAACTTTCCAGACATTATAAATTTCATATAAATTTCAAGTATCTTGTATGATTATTAAGATGCCCCCAATCATTAACAAATGTAGAATCATTCTTATTTGAGGGCTGGACAAAATCAATTAGCCTTTGGGCTAGAGTTAGCTAGAAAGTCACAGATTGTCAGTCCTCTTCTAGGATGGCCACTAAGAGTCTAGATGGGTGAATCCATCACCAAATGGAGAGGTCACTCACCACTGTGGTGTGCTCTGCCTCTGCCTTTGCACTTCTCTCAGTGTGTGACCCTAACTGCTAGTCCACAAATCTTTCCACAAAGCAGAAATGTCTGCATGATTTTCTGATGTTCCTGGGCACATCTGGGGGCTTGTTTTCCTGCAAGAAAATGAAAATGACTCCAGTGACTATTTGGTCTTGAAATGGTTTAATTTACTTTTTTTTTCTTTTTTCCCTTACCCTTTCTCCACAACAGAAATTAACATAAAAATTCCTTCTGGCTAAATTCCCAATGCATTTTTCACAGTGAGCATTTTCTGAAGTGAAAATTAGGGGCTTCTTTGCAGTTTCCATCAGGAATGTGAAATGGTGCAGCTCACAGGGGTGGAGAACTCAAGCCCATTTATGAACTAATTCATGCTGGTAAGGAGGCCTCTCTGCAGAGGATCCTTTCTACAGAAATTCAAGCATCTGGGCGATGTGTTTTATTTTCCTTTCTTGTTCTGTCACCGAGACAGTGTCTCCGGCACTGGAAGACATTAATTGGCACCAGCACCTGTGGAGGACTCTCTGTGTCATCCCTAGACTCGCTAGAACCTGGCCTGCAAAGTAAGGTCTTTTTCTACCCCTCCACTTCTTCATCTGCAGCCTCACTGCCCCCCCCCATTTTTATCTAGTGGAATCTAGAATCTAATGATGATGAACACTATTGGCAACCTCATAAAAACACGGCAGTCCAGTGTGGTGGGGAAAACACAGGGAAAGGAGCGGACTTTTGCCTGTCTCTAGTTCTAACAATCTGGTTCTCAAAGCAGCCTTGGATCTTTCAGGCTGATGCTCTAAGCTGGATCTAGATAAGTCTGTTTGCCTTTATTATCCATCTATCTATCTATCTATCTATCTATCTATCTATCTATCTATCTATCTATCTATCTACCTATCTACCTGCCATCTTGTCATCTATTATCTTAATTAGGGAAACACCATGACCAAAAGCATCTTGGAGAAGGAAAGGTTTATTTTGTTCACAGTTCCATACAACAGTTCATTATCAAAAGCAGTGAGCTCAAGAACCTGGAAGCAGGAGCTGATGCAGAGGCCATGGAGGAGTGTTGCTCACTGGCTTGCTCCTCATGGCTTGCTCAGCCTGCTTTCTTTATAGAATCCAAACTACTAGTCCAGGGATGGTCCCATCCGCAATGGGCTTGGTTCTCCCCAGCTGGTCACTAATTAAGAAAATGCCTTACAGCAGGGTGTTATGGAGGCATTTTCTCAATTGAGGCTCCTTCCTCTCTGATGAATCTAGTTGACACAAAGCTTGTCAACTAGCTAGGTCAACTCAAGTTGACACAAAGCTAGCCAGTACATCTATGTATAATCTATTAATCATTGATCTTTCTACCATCTATATATTATCTGCAGATCATCTATCTGTCTACCTAATTTTACCCTGGGATGTCTTGGATACCTAAGGTCTAATAACTCTGAGATTGTGTATGATTTAAATTCTGCGACAATTTACAGGAGCTACAGGAAGAAAGAAATCACATTATAATGATTAAAATTACAGGGTTTTTGGGGTTTTTTTTGGTTTTTTTTTTTGTTTTTGTTTTTGTTTTTGTTTTTGTTTTTTTTTTTTTTTTGCATCAGCTAGATCTCAGTTTGAATTTTGGTTTCTCCACTTAGAGCCCAATGTAGACTTTGGGAATAATGATCAACTTCATTGTGTGTCTGCTTTGGCAGAAGACGTATCTACAACATACTCAGTTAAAAACCCTGCAACTTAGATATTTCTTTTCTTTTATTTTTGCACCAAATTTTTGTTGAATTGCTTTGTTGCTTCTGAAAACACAGAAAAATAAAATAAATGTGCAAAACAGAGGATCTGACCCTCAGCCAGGATGTATAGGGAAGGTGGTCAGGTGTGTTCAGCAATGCTTGTATGTTGGTGCGGCGTGGGGTGGGGCAGGGGAGAGAATCAGCCAACAGCTGGGCTTGGTGGGGTTTGAATGTGAAGGGTCTCCAACAGAGTCACCTGTGTGAACACCTGGTCCTCAGCCGGTGGTGCTGGTTCTGGAGGTCTGGAGCCTCTGGGGAGTCAGGCTGGGTGGGCAGAGGGTGGGTGGTTCACTGCATTTGCCTTTGAAAGGGTCTGCTGAAGCCCCATTCTCTGCTTCCTGATTTGCCTACATGTGAGAAGTCTAGCAGCATGTGATCAGTGGCGCAGACCAAGCTACTGCTACACCTGCTCACAATGAGAGATTGAGCCCCGGAGACCGTGAGCGAGAAATCAACCTGGCTCCTTCAGTTGTTTCTGTATGCTTTGTCACGGTCACAAGGAAAGTCATCAATACAGAGCTCACCAGCCAGCTTGAGGATGTTAAAGAAGGAGTGTTCAAACTGATTACCAAAGGTTAAACAGAAGCTGCCCAGGGAGTCAAGAGTGGGGCTATAATCTCATGAAAGGGATGGGGAAAGATTTTGATTTTGCTAGAATTTAAGGAGTGCAGGTGGGAAAAGTATCACCATGACTCTGATGGGAGATGCTGGGGGAGATGTCAAGGAGACTGGTCCTTCATGCTCAGTTGACTTTTGTAATATGAGAAAAAGCAGAGTGCTAATGGAGAAGATGTTCTCACCTGAGAGCTGGAATAGAGAGACCCGGTGGTAGCTCAACCACCCTTGCTGTGTCCTGCCATCACAGAAGCCCTTCAGCAAGCCAGTCACTCAGCAGATAGCTGCTGTGGGATGTTCTGTATGGCAAATGTGTTGCTAATTAGTCAATAAATAAAACACTGATTGGCCATTGGCTAGGCAGGAAGTGTAGGCGGGACAAGGAGGAGAATAAAGCTGGGAAGTGGAAGGTTGAGTCAGAGAGACACTGCCAGCCGACGCCACAATGACAAGCAGCATGTGAAGATGCTGGTAAGCCACAAGCCACGTGGCAAGGTATAGATTAATAGAAATGGATTAATTTAAGCTGTAAGAACAGTTAACAAGAAGCCTGCCACGGCCATACAGTTTGTAACCAATATAAGTCTCTGTGTTTACTTGGTCGGGTCTGAGTGGTTGTGGGACTGGCGGGTGAGAGAGATTTGCCCTGACTGTGGGCCAGGCAGGAAAACTCTAGCAACAGATAGCTGACAAAGCAAAGAGACCAGCAATAGGTCGGCTCAATCCAGAACTGAGTGGAGTCCCTACCAAGGCTCTTCCCTTCAGCTAGTCTTCTTCCCCTGGGTTTCAATCCACAACGGCCCCAGTCACTACGGCAACTCCCTTCTGACCTCTGAACATCTCTGATCAGCTTGTTGGCATGGGGACATGGGATGCGAAGATGGGCCTGCCACGGAGGAGGGAGCTGATGGCAATGCCTTGCAGCTGTAGAAACAAAGGCTGTGACTGATCAAGAGGGAAGCTGGATCTGTCATGTTGCATTCTGGGTCTGTTTTAGGAACAGAAACCAAGGCACCTGATTGTGGCTTTTCCCTGCTTTCCTGCCTGCAGAAACCACCCAGTCAGGGGCCTAGCAGGAAGAAGCTGGGCCAGAAAGGGACGTGTGTGTGTGTGTGTGTGTGTGTGTGTGTGTGTGTGTGTGTGTGTGTGTGTGTTCAGGGTTCAGGTGCCTGGGGAACGGTAATCCCAGAGCAACCAAGCTGGGGACGGCCGGATCTCCTCCCATATCCTTCTATATCACGGCCCAGCGAGCAGGGTGGGAGCTGGTTTCTTTTCCAGCTTGTCCAGGTTTGGTTCCAGCAGCCCCGCTGCTTCTCCGGGCCCTGGGTGCTCGCCTTTTCTCCTCCCTTAGCAACCGGGAGTCTGTGGACGCTACCAAGCGGCAACTGGGAGGCTGCGGGGAACCCGGGCAAGGAAGGGAGGAGCCCAGCCCAGGTGCTCCGAGTCCCACCGCGGCAGTGCAAAGCCACCGTTAGCTGCGTCTGCACCTGCAGCGGGGTCCAAAAGGGATTCAGCAAAAATGAGCCATTCTCACCCCGCTGGGTAAGTGACAACCGGAGCTTTGCCTTGCTGAGGCAGGTGGCGGCTTCAGCCAGCGGCCCTCCTTCTCCCTCCTGCTGCGGAGCTCAGGGGCGACAGAGAGAGGGAGGGTGGGCTGGGAGAGGGGGAAAACACAGATTCTAGGTTTCAAGAGGATGGCAGAAATCCCAGGCGTCCTATCTTTTCCCTGCCCCCTGCCCATTCTCGCTTCTTCATAATGTTCGCCTCTCTTGAAATTCTCAGCCTGGAAAGACGGGGAAAATGGATGTGAAAACCACATACAGTAAGCAGGGATAGGCGTTAGCTGAGATGAAAATCCCTCAATGTGGAACACAAGTGTTTAAATGCTGAAGTAGAAGTTACCAAAATACGCATTTGTGGGGAGATTTGAGGCAGAGACAAATTTTCTCCGTGGCCTGTCTGTGGCTTGCAAACAGAGATGTTGTTTTTATGAGGGTCTCCCTGTAGGTGGGAGAGCACCTTATGTCAGAAATATATCTTCCCAGTCACAGAAGCACCAGGAGAGTCCTTTAGAATCACCTGGGCCCAGGAAAGTGGTGTGATACGGGAAAGCAAAAGATCAGGGCGCGAGGCACCCAGGCGCCCACACATGGTCTCCTGAAGATAGAGCAACTCTTCAGAGGGCCTATTAGTAACATTCAATACATCACAGACAGTGAACAGTCTTTGTTGGTTGTTACACAAACAAGATCTCCATTCTTTGTGAAAGAGAGAGTATCCAATTGCCTTCTGAATTAAGTGCGCAATACATACTACATCAATTTTTATTATCACATTTCTACTAAGTGGCTCACTCCCTCCCCCTCTTTGGTTTTGCAACTAATTTGATGCTTTTCAGTTGCATTTATCACACATGTTGAAGAGCAGTGGACTGGCAGAAGACACCCTATTTAGGATCACTTGGAGGTGGTGGCGTCTGAGAGAACATAGTCATTATTGCTCTTGGATCTATAATCACACTTGAAGATTTCACTTTTTAATGAGTTCTCTGGATGAAATGACAAGAGTCAGTAATGTTTGAACAATCCAAAACCCTGTAAGGTATTCTGTTGGAAGTTAGTTCCAGAACATTCTGGAGAGTAAGGGCACTGTGCTAAATTGAATTTCAGAGCTTTAATGTTTTGCTGCTGAGTTCCTGAGCAAGTGTTGTTGACCACGGTCCCGTGGGACAAGAATAATATGTTTTCTGCAGATGCAGTTGGCACTTTGTCCCAATTCAGAAAAATGAATGTGTCAGTCATGGTCTCTTCCTATGTTTGTCAAGTTCTTGACTAGGTTAGAATCTGATTAGTCCATTTACCCATTTATGTGAAAATATAGGCAAACCTGTAGCTGCTTATTAAATTCTGCCAAGATTAAGATTTCAGATACCGAAGTCAAAATTTGCTGAAGCTTGAGTAGTTCTGAGCACATGGAGAAAGGGGACCTAAGGAAAGTATGCGCTGTGTGGGACTGTTCAAGGATTATGTGGGGATGCAACACACACACACACACACACACACACACACACACACACACACACGCACACCCTGGGGATGCAGCACATTCTGCACTAAAATGCAAAGGTTCTTGAAATATTAGCTCCATGCTTTCTATGCTTTGTCTCTCTGTGTCTACGACTGTTCAGGGTTAGGTAAAGCTCAACAGTTCCTGGTTGGATGAATGATACTGGCTGATGGGCCATGTAGTCACAAAAGAAAGCCATGTTAGGGCAGATATTCAGGACTTACAGGAGCCACAGTCCTTTCTGAGGTAATGAAATACCTCATGACCCCCATTTCCACAGACAAGGCAGCTTAGGACTGAGAAACTTCTAAGGGTGGTATGGGGTGGAAGGGTCGGGGCTGAAACACGAGGCCAGCATCTCCAGTCAGCTTGCATCCTTCATCATCCCATTCAATGATCTAATGTGCATGACCACTAATGTATAGAAATTCCATCCAAATCAGATCAACATCTGATGGATCACAGCCATAGTGATCAAGTATTTTGATATATGATGACAATAATTATGTAGTAGTGCATAGTGCATGTATAAATATGTCTTGTTTAGCTCATAAAAATAAATGGATGCTGGGTGCAGGCCATACACTCTTAAATCCCAGTACTTGGAAAACAAAGGTCTTGTGATTTCAAGACCAGCCTGGTCTACATTGTGAGCTCCAGGCCAGCCATAGCTACACAGTGAGGCCCTGAGACTCTGTTTCAAGACATGGTAATAAATAAAATAAATAAAGAAATAAGCAAATAAGTGGAAACAATGAACAGAAACATATTTAGTCTACATGCCTTAAAATTCACCCAATAACAAAAGCGTTTCAAATTACTAAAGTCTCCTCCTCAAATAAAGAGAGTAATTATTTCTCTTGCCTATGTTACCATTTGGAAATAATAAAAGTTTGAGTAGCAAATAAAAGTTTTCATCAAAGCTGAGAAGCCTTCTCCATCTTTACTGAGGCACTTTGTACTTATTACATTTTGAAGATAAAATGGTAATAAAGTTAAGTTCTACAATAAAACAGATATTATAAGTCTGAAATTTCTCCAGTCAGTTAGCAGTGTCTGATGCTTTCTCTTGGCTCTTCTTTGCTCTGAGTTGCTTGCCTACTTAATTATACCATGAAACGCTAGATATAAAAACCACACAGGCCCAACACTGGCTTTGTTCAGATGGAGAATGGAAGTAAATAAAAATGGTCCTAAAACGTCTTTCAAAGATAACAGAGACTTCAAGTCTCAACTGCCTCTCCATTTGGTGGATACCAACTATGAACCACTGTAGACAACACCACGGTCTCTAATGAAAGTGTTTTAGACCCAACAGTTTTATGTCACAGTCCCTGCACTTCACTAGATTCCACCCACTTTGCTCTTTGTGTGTGTTTGTGGGCTGGGCACCAGGCCTCAAGGTGGAACAGGAATCTTAAATCCCTCCATCGTGGATGAGAATAAAACAATACAGCTCTGCCTTCATGCTCATCCACATGAACGTGGCTCCCTGTGGGAGAGAGCCACTTGACTTAGAAGAGTCATTGAAGATACATCTCCATGACAAGAAAAATGCAGAAAATGTATCCTTTCCTGGGCTGTTCTACGTGGTAACTCAGAGCCCAAACACACCAGTTGTGCATGTTTAGATGGTGTATATCTTCCAGGCGGCAGTGCCATCCACTGCGGTGTTCACAGTAGGTTGTATTTGCATAGCCTTTGGGGTCTTACCTCAATTCTTAACAATGTGGTCCTCTATAGGAAATTATAGTTTGTTGCTCATGTCTATCCCCCAAATCATCTCTAACACAGAATTTCAGACTTGATATTTTTAAATATTTAAATTCAAATTAAATTCAGCAGTTGCTATTAATCTTGCCGACTGCTAGCTTTGAGGAGCAGGTTAGTTCCAGGTGGTTTTACCAGACTCCCATGTCCTGGCTTCTCCTCTCTCGTCACAGGTCTTATTCTTTTTAATATAGATACCACATCTCTTCCTTTGGCTGAGCAAACCCATTCATCTAAACAGATGGGGATGGAGAGGCATTTGTCCTGGGAATGCTGAGTTCTCGGAATTCCTTCAGAGACGCATATCAACATTGCAGTCATCTGTCACCGGAAATGTTCCTGGTTAGTTTTAGATGACTACCCAATGAGTTCAACTGCTCTGGACACAAAGAGCTGGAAGCTATTGGGTTTGTAATCAGACCTGTTGCCCAATATGGAAGGTGTTTGTTGTAGCAACATCTAGAATATCCCTCAAATTTCCCCTTTGCATCTCTGCTTTGCTAAGCTTGATGCTCCCTACGGGACCCTGGATGGTGAGAGGCACCTTCCTTTCATGGGAGTAGAAGGTGTTTATAATTTATAGTGGGGCAAGCATGAGGGAAGGAATGAGTATGACTGGAAGACATTTTCCAGAAGGTCCATTTTAAGGACTCACAGGGGGAAATTGAGGCGTAGAGCAGGTTTCTATTGGAGCTAGCCTTCCAAAGTGTCTTCAGGAAAGCCTTCTGTGGTACCTTATGAGTGTGTGCATCCAAGTTTGCAAACTGGTTTAGAGAACAGTGCCACCATATGGTCCAGTGGTGTCCTCTGCTCCTGTCCCTTCTCCAAACCTCTGCTCAGGAATGCAAGGAGAAGACAGTGTTCTCCAGGTTATTTGGACAAAGAGCAAAGTTGGAAAGCACAGCTTCTCTGACTGGATTCTTAACTCCTAAGACAGTACCAAATAATCTAAGCCTGAGGGAACATGGACTTTTGAGCCTTCAAATTTCCAGCAATGTTATTTCTAGTGAAAACCTCAAATTCTCTAGTTAGTGGTGAGCCTTCTGTGGTTCATTTCAATGCAGACCAAGCTCTGTAGTAAGTGGGAGAGAACTGTGGTTCTTCTTCCCATAATTTCCTCCCTTCCCTACACAGATAGTCATCATATGGTGATCTCATAAATACCAAGTTTAAAGTGAAACACTCACATTTGAGTGGCACCCAAATCAGCACAAAGAAGCAGAGTGTACACTCCAACATTCACACTCTTCTGTGAGTGTCTTTGTCATTTTTCTTCAAATTATAAATCCCCAAATGGTATGACTGTGTGCACAATTTTCTAAAAATGACAGAACAGTTGATTAATTTGAGTAAAACTCTTAACTAGCAAAGGGGTATGGTGAGCAGACATGTATTTGTACTTTCTATTCAAATACATTATTTAAAGCAAATATATTTGAATATTCACTCCTTTTTTTTTTCCAGAAGTGACTAATTTTCCTAACTGCATTGAATAAGAAGATTGTGTAGTATCCCCAGGCTTGAGTCAGTCGATACATTTTTCTTTTTTGTTTTCTTCCTTCCCTTGGCTTAATCTTTTTTATTGCCCAAGCTGTGCACATGCAGAGCTGCTGACTAGTGCACTCTGTGTGGAACCTCATGTTGTGTTTTACAGGTTAAACAATTGTCAAGAATCTCTGTCTTCACCCAAACAGTGAATCTGAGTATTCCGGCTTCCCACAAGCTATTAGTTCTTTCACTCTCTCCTTTTTTTGAGTCTAGAAAGGAGACACAGCCTTCCCTAGGACTATCATCAGTGCACATTGTCGGATCAAAAAAATATACTTGGACCAAAGCTTGACTTTTTGCATTAATGTGTGTTCTGCAGAAAAGAGGAGAGATGTGACAAGGTGAACAGCATAGTATGAATGATTGTGCTTTACTATGATTCTGTTGGTATTAGGATTTTAGGTTTCTGGAAAATTGTTGTTGAATCATTGCTTATATGCTAAGCCACAAGGAATAAACATTAACAGTGAACAACCCTGGAAATTACACACAGACACACACAGACACACACACACACACACACACACACACACACACACACACACACACTTTCCATTCTCTTATGAGTCCTCTCTGATCCATGCTCTTCCTTCTCTCTCCTTCTAACTCGTGGTCTCTGGCAGGTTATTATGATGTGGAATTTCATCTGCTCAAAGTTGCATGGCTTCCCTGTCATCTTCTCTTTGAGCACAGATGTGGTAGGGTCCAGAGGGTTTCTGTGCTCTTCCTAGTGGGTCATTAATGGTCCCATTCTGATTGCAAGCATAGAGAATCCAGAATCAAGCTTTCTAGGCACTCAAGAAAGACAATTTTAATTTCTGTGCATTAAGTCCATGTCACCTACACAAACTGGTCATTGTTCTGGTTATTCCACTGTTGTGGCCTGAGTCCTCCACATCTCACAGTGTGACTGTATTTGGAGACAGATCTTTAAATAAGTAATAAGGCTAAGTGATATCAATGCAGTGGGTCCTAATCTGACCTGCCTTGTGCTGTTACAACAGATAGACAGTAAGACACAGACATGCATGCATGGAGAGGGACTAGCACATTACAATAAGGTGTTCATCTATGAACCAACTAGAGAAGCTGGCACTGATTTTTCCTGCACAGCCTTTGGGAGCAAGCAACCAACTCTGTAGACAGCTGCCTGACGTTGTAGCTTTTAGCTTCCAGAACTACTAGAAGATAAATGTCTGTTGTATAAACCACCTGCCTGTGCTGTGATATGATTTTATGGCAGTCTTAGAGGTAACCAACCTGTTTGTAGCAGCTGATAGCTTTTATTGCCTGGTCCTGCAAATCTGAAATAAGTCTTTATAAGAAATGCAGAGTCACAGAAAACAAATGATTGATTGATTGATGACAGTGTAGTAGTAATGGGTGTCTTAGTGCATCTAAGTTATAAAAAAATAATCCCATAGACTGAGTGGCTTAGAAATAACTCACATGTGTCTCACACAGTTCTGCGAGTAGGAAGTTCACGATGGTAGGCTAAGTGAAGAGGGTGTGCTTCTTTATCCTCAGATGGTTGCCTCTGTCTGCAACCTTATGCTGTCTGCTTATCAGGTCTCTTTGGGCAACCCTTTTCCTTTCCTTTGTTCATTTTTATTTTATTTTTTTGGTTCTATTCTCATTTGTGAGGGCTTAACTCTCTTCTAAAACTCTTCCGTAAATCCCCGTTTCCTAATCTTCACATTGGAGATTAGGATTCGATTCATAAATGTGTGTGAGTGTGTTGTGTGTATGTGTGTGTGGTGCATGTGTGTGGTGTGTGTGTATGTGTGTGTGTGTGGTGTGTGTGTGTAGTGTGTGTGTGTGTGTATGTGTGTGTGTGTGGTGTGTGTATGTGGTGTGTGTGTGTGTGTGTGTGTGGTGTGTGTGTGTAGTGTGTGTGTGTGTATGTGTGTGTGTGTGGTGTGTGTATGTGGTGTGTGTATGTGGTGTGTGTGTGGTGTGTGTGTATGT